GACTCTGCTAGGGTTGGGAAAGACTAATCTGGCCTGAGCACTGCAGTCTGAGATCTATAGCAAGATGGTCCCAGGAGAGCAATTCTGTAAGCTTTAAGGTATCTCTTACTGAGTCCATAGAAAATGACTAATAGTATGAATGTATGTTTGTTGGACTAAGGAGAGGAGAAACACACCCACATTTGCCCTTAGGCCATTCATCTTGCTGGATAAGAATCCGTCCTGAAAGAAGCATCCCCTGAGGGAAGGACCTTACATCTGATGATTACATGATGACATCTATGTGTAATTGTTGCCCCAACCCCTCATGAGGAGGATTTAACTAGGATTAAGGGTGGACACAGGGAGGAAGAAGCAGGAGGTGAATCAGAGGAGAATGGATATGGGAATGGAATAAATTGTAATTGACACCAACCAGCCTGGTCCCCGTTCCTTCCTTCATCTGCCCAACGCCATTGGCCTCCCCAGGGTGGGGGAAGCAGCGGAGACTACCCAATGCAGGCTGTGAGAGAGAGAGAGTGCTGTGGTCCTTCAGTAAATACACATATAGAGGGACACAGGACCCTGTTTGAGGAACTAGCCTGTACGGGACAGAAAAGAAAGCATTGGTGAGTTCCCACCACCTCAGCTATCTGTTGGCTGAGCAAAGGCCCGGCTTCGTCCTGTCTTCTGATACCACATGACTCACCCGCAGGTATTGTGGCATGAATCAGCAAATCAGCAGCTTCTTTTCCAAGCACATTTGTTTCCTGTGTGTGTGTGTGTGTGTGTGTGTGTGTGTGTGTGTGTTGTGGGGATGACGATGGTTTTTATCGAAACTTCTTTAGAAATATGTGATGGGAGAGAAAGAGAAGTACACGTTGAGAGAGAACACTAGCTTCTAAAGAGTGGAAATAAGGAAAGAAGCAAAAGACAAGGGAGACGTGAGTTCAAAGGAGAACACGGGCTTGAAGAGCAAGTCATAGGTTTATTTACTTTTGTTAAAGGGGGAAAAAAGACTTGAACAGATATCTGTATGGCAATATCCAGAACAGCATTTTTCACAATAGGCGACAAGTGGGAGCTATCAAATGTCCATCGAGAGATGACTTAACAAACCGAATGTGGCTGATGTGTACAGAGGGTGCAAACGTTTGGGGAAATGTAATTGACATATAACATTGTAGCTATTTTAGGTAGTATTGGCATGATTGCATCTACGTCTGTATTATGAAATGGTTATCACAATAACTTTGGCTAGTCTCCAGTGGAGTATATTTACCTGTAAAAAGGGAGAAAAATCTGACACATGCTCCAACATGATGATGACCCTTGAAAACTTTGTGCTAAGGAAAATAGGCCAGATACAAAGGGATGAATATGACATATGATTGGACAGTTGCCAACAATGGCAGGATTCATGGAGAAGGAGTGGAGAACAGCAGTCACCAGGGGTGGTGGGGGGAGGGGGCATGGGAGGTGGGAGTTGCTGATTGATGAAGACTGAGTTTCAGTTGAGATGAAGAAAAAGCCCTGATGCTGGGGCATGGGGAAGGCTGCAGCTCCAGGTGAATCTATTCACTGCTACTCAACTGCACACCTACAAAGATTGATGTTGGGGGGGGGGGCTGGGTGGTCTTTATGTGGTTCCGGAGATCAAAGGGGGATTTGCCATGAAAAAAACAAGTGCCTTAACACCTGTACTATCTCTCCAACCCATGAAATTGATTTTTTTAAGATTTCAAGCAACCCGCTAAGTGTAGTCGAGTCCAAAGAGGGTACCAGACTGTGGGACAAGTGGCAAAGGTGTGGGCCAATCTCTCTGTCAGCACGCCACCCTTGCCCGTGCATCCCTGCGCTTCTGCCCACGTTCTCCTGGCGGCAGCCTCAAAGTGTGTCTTGCCTCTCGCTTCTGGCCTGGAACCCCTCCTTGGGGCTGCAGGGAAGGCATCAGCAGAAGGAAGAACCCTGACTCCCTTCCTGCAGAATTCATGCTATGCCATATCTTAGCCGAGGCTCCCAGCCCGCCCTGGCCCAGCTCTGGCTCTCCTTCCTCTTGCTCTTCCCACCCAGGGCAGCTGCAGCAATGCTTCCCAGCCCCCAACACCACCCTCAACCCTACCCCCAGTCCAGGGAATACCATAATCCTTTTCTATGGTTTCTCCACTTTTCCCAACACCTGTGCTAATTATCCTTTTGTCAAACCTTCCTCACATTACCCAATTTGAATGCACCATTTCTTTCTTGTTAAACTAACTACACCAAGGTTATTTACTTATTTGTTTTAGGAATCCTAATATTTATTTAAGTTCTTTATTGATTGAGATACTGCGATTTCAATAATGTTAATGATGGTTTCTCATGTACGCAATTCCAACACCACACCCATCCCCAGTGTATCCATCCCCCTCCTCCAAAGATTCCAACTCCCCTCCCTTTCAAGTCCTCCCCCTGCCAACTCAGTTGTATGGGTCCATTTTTCCCATTGTGCTACCTCTGGCCCTTTGTTACTATCCAAAAAACAAGGTTATTTTTAAAAGATCAAAGTTTTGGAGACACTGACTCCCCCGAAAAATGTTCCTGTGTGTGAGTTCAAGGAGAGTGTGGGACGCATTCAGTGGCCGAGAGCCCCCTCTCCAGGCCTCCCCAGCAGAGGAACAAAGAGACAGGGGACCAGACTGATGGTCAAAAGGACTTATTGAATGTGGAGCTGATAGCACACTTGGAGAACATCTGGGGGGCTGAGGTATCGAACTGTACCTAGGTGTGACTGATCATTTACAGAGGTAAATGAAGCATTTCAGCAGAGGCAATTCTCTTGGGGGGATTAACTCAAGGAGACACTCTTTCTCCCAGGGACATCTATATTGCTTCTCTCTTCTCTTTAGTTGTACATATTAAACAATCAAGTTTACTTTGTATTAACACTTGCATTTATTTGGATAAACACAGTAAAAGATATAGATTCCGAATCTTAGTTCTCTGGGCTCTGAGGGCAAGCAAGGCTTTTACCGTAAATCCCAGACTAAGTCCTCAGGCAAGTTCAGCTTGTTCTTCCCCATGGGCATCCTGTTTTATTAAGTCATAACAGCTTGCATCAAGACCACGCATTGATTCTTTCTAGACTGTCCCATTGTGATGCCCAGGTAGTTCGGTGCTTGCCCGAGAGGACCAGACCCATGGAGTGACCTCCCTTTGTGGGGTGTTAAAAACTACAGCAACCAAAGACTGAGTCAAGTAATTATGATGGATACCCAGGAGTAGATATATTTCAGAGTCATTCAACTCCAAATTTTAGGAGCACAGCATTATAAGCAAAGAACGTTGCTCTATAGTAAAATATGAAAAGGCTATAGAAGAAGCAGAAGAGCAATTAATTCGCTACAAAAACAAAGTCCAGAATCATCAGAATTTTTGACTTATAAGTAACCAGTTCTGACTTGGGGAATTGTGGCAATGAGAGGTAGAACACAAAGGAAAGCTTAAAGATAAACTCAGGGGATTAGCGATGCTCATAAGAGCACTGTAAGCTTCTCTGGGGGGAGGGAAAGGGCAATTCACTAATGAAGCCTATAACATTTAGGCTTAATATTCAACGTCTATGGTTCCCCAAAGATGTCTCATCCCCCAAGACCCTTCAGAGATCCAGAGACTGCACGGTATTGATAGTAAATGGGAGTCTTCTGCCCCATCATCCACCCCCTCTTTTTTTTTCAAGCACATTTCTTTGTTAAAGCTACTTATATTTGCTAATTTTAACATAGAATTTAAAATTCTGTACCGATTTGTCTACTGATTTATCAAATTGTACATCACATTTTCATATATGACAGAATTTCATTTTAATCACAATCACAACAACAATCACAAATCAGCCTGTTAATCGTCGATTGCCTCGAGCAGGCCCCAGTAACGGCTCCTTCATCCTAGCCCTGAGATTATATTCAAGGCTCTTTAGGAGAATGAGACCCATCATTGTTACTGGAATTTGGCATATTGGGTACACCACAGGGAGTTTGCCAGACTCTGCCGTGTGGGCAGGCTACATTCGGTAGCCTGCCAGTTTGTCCAAAGTAGGAATGAGATAAGAAGATGTCATTGCTCGAGCGGGCCCAGTAACGTCTCCATTGGAGACTTTGTTGTTACTGTGTCTGGCATATCGAATACTCTCGGTAGCTTGCCGGGCTCTCCGAAGATGTCATAATAAGATGTTAATAAGGTTCCAGGATCTGGTTTTTATAGTCTCTGAGTCTTGGCCGCTGATGGGATTACACGGCGCCAGGGGGCCAGTTGGTGGGTGTGACCATTTTCATATATGACAGAATTTCATTTTAATAAAGCAATCAAATTATTCAAACATTCTGTGGTTGTTGGCTTTTGGTTTGTTTTCTATTTTTTTTTGAGAGTCGCTAGGAGGGCCGCATCAGGCACTTTATGGAACTCTCAGAGCTCAGTGCTCAGGAGTTGCCCCCTGAGGTGTGCAGGAGACCATGTGGTGCTAGGCATGGAACCAGGTTTTCCCAATGCAAAGCCCACATTCAGCCTGTTGCTGTCTCCCCAACTCTGGTTGTAGTTGTTTTGGTTTTTGGACCACACCCAGCAGTGCTCAAGGCTTACTCCTTGCGTAAGCTCTGTGCTCAAGGATCATTTCTGGTGGTGCTCAAGGGGCCATATAGGGTGCCAGGGATAGAACCCGGGTCAGCCTCATGCCAGGCATGTGTCTTTCTTACCCACTGTATTATTACTCTGACCCCTCTGGATGTTGTTATAAAAAGCATGTTCCTTGTGAATATTTCTGCTGAATCCTAGGTACAGGTGCCCAGGGGAGCAGAACAATGGTGGTTATGCATGAATAGGGAACTGAAATGCTTTCTGTATCAGGCTCTCCAAAACGGCCATGTAGCTAAAGCATTGCAAAATGAGCTGCCTCTCCCTCCGAGGCCGTTGCTTAGAGAGGAAACCATGAGTAATGTTACCTTCCTTCTTGGTAATAATGGTCTAGAAGACGTTGAACCTCCCACCTTCAAAATTGAGTGATACGTGCCCTGCTCAGGCTTATACTAAACAGCTTATGTTCATGTCGTGAAGAGTAGCCACACCCGCCTGTAAGGTCACTGGCTCGGGTAAGCAAACCATATGGTCACTGCAAGAGAAGAGCAACAGAAATGTCAATGGACAGGGCAGGATCTTGGCTGGTCAAGAGTGGTGTGTGCGCTTGGGTTTCCATCATATCAGGTAAATGGAATTGACTCTTAAGTGGCTCTTAAGCCCTGTACACTTTCTCTCTCTCTTTCTCTCTCTCTCTCTCTCTCTCTCTCTCTCTCTCTCTCTCTCTCTCTCTCTCACACACACACACACACACACACACACACACACACACACACACACACACCACAAACACCAAAAAGGAAACAAAAAACTTCCTACACCCACCCCCAGATGGCCCTGCAGGTGGTTCCAGGAAGCCCCGAGTCTTTGTTGTATTTGCTTTGAAGAAGCCCATCACCAGGATGAGACTACGCAAGACCAATGCCTAGCCCCTCTGGTGGCTGGCTGACTGGCTTACTTGTTGCTGACAGGCAGTGAGGCAATGCAGAAGGTCCCAACAACGCTGCTCCTGTCTTTTCTCCAAACCCGGGTGGAAGATCGAAACTTGAGTTTCACTTGGTTTATCTGACATGGAGGGCTGATGTGAGCTATGACTCCTTTCCCATGGACTCTCTCTTTAGGTCTGCCAGGGAAAGGAAAGGCAGTTACCAGGGCACCATTGTTTTCCCAAGTCTCTCGGGGTCTGCTGGGTTCCCCAGGGTCTCTAGTGGTCTGCTGGCAGTGCTGGCTGGCTGTCAGGCACACACAAAACCAAGGTCCTTTGTATCAGCCTTACTAGCCCCTCTGCCCATATGCCTGCAGCTTGAACATGACTCAGAAAATATCCGTGGGCCAGAATAATGTGGCAGCTTAGAGCACCTGCCTCTCATGCATGTGCTCAAATCAGAAGCTCAAATCCCCGGAGTTCCACATGAGCTTAGACTCATGCAGCCTGGGGATCCCTCATGCTGCAAGCAATTTCTACCATACCACGGTGAGGTGTGTGAATGTATGTATGTAAGAAATACAAAAAGAGGTAGAGCCCCCAGCAAGCACCACAGCTGAAAAGAGGCTCTTGTATCGAAGTGAGAAAGCGCCCACCCAGGGAGCAGCAAGATTGTGAGTTGTGTACTTCAATGAAGAGTGAGCCTGGCAAGCACATGTACCAGCACCACAACTACAGGTGCCAGTAAGCCTCAGATCATTGTGCCGCATCCCAGCTGTTAGGTGTCACAGCTGGTACAGATGCAACTCTCAGCAGCTGTAACAACAAAGGGGATGGGATCAGGAAGGGACGAAAAAAATGAATATTTTTTAAAATAACAACAACAACAATAAAGAAGCCAGAGAGGTAGTACAGTGGGTATATCACTTGCCTTGCATGTGGCTGACCCTAATTTGATCCTGGGCACCATATCCAGTTCCCCAAAGCCCACCAGGAGTGATCTCTGAACAGAGAGCCAGAAGCAAACCCTGAGCACTGCTGTGTGTGGCCCAAATAACATAGAAAATATATGTGTGTCTGGGAGTGTGTGGGGGCGTGGGGGGAGGGATTTTTAAAGTAAACAAGTAAACTTTGGGACAAAATAAAAACTCCTGGATTTCACATCTCAAAAATGTCTTTCATCCTGCTTGCTAGGGGAAGGGATCTTCACTTTGGGATCCAATGATCTAGAAACAACTCTCTCTGTAAGTGTGTCAGATCCACGAACAGGTGAGGAAGTCTGCGGTAGCACAAAGAGAAACAACAGGTACTGAGGCAGGAGGGACTGGGGACAGGCTTGCGTCTTCCCACAGAGGCCACTGCGCCCCCCACAGTCTCTGGCCTGAGCCTGCACCCCGGCTGCCTGCTCTGAACTAGACCTGGCAACCACTGGCCACAGGGACAGGGGTGGGGCGCAGAGTGAAACCTAGATCACTTGTGACCCACTCTCTTGACAATGTTCCTCAGATGTCCTTTCAGTTGACACTTTGGGGCTTTTCTTTCTTTCTTTCTTTCTTTCTTTCTTTCTTTCTCTTTCTTTCTTTCTTTCTTTTTTTTGGCCTCTGTTTTGTATTTGTCTGTCTGTTTGTTTGTTTGTTTGTTTGTTTTTTGGGCGACACCCACTGGTGCTCAGAAATTTTTACTCCTGGCTCTGTGCACAGGGATCAACTGTGGCACGGTTCAGGGTGCTAGGGATCGAACCCTGCTGGTCACATGCAAGCCAAACACCCTATCTGTTGTACTGTCACTCCAGATTCTCAGCTGACACTCTGGACTGTCAAAGGGCAAAGGTGAAGAGAGGAGGGGGAAGTTCTCAGCCCAAGAAGGGCTTCAAAGAGGCCTGCTGTCTTGGGCACAAACAGTAAACTGTCCAGTGATTGGTGTTGCTGAAATAGGAACTTCTGTGGGGCCAGGAGGGAAATCTCAGGGCCAGGGGTGCATGCAGGACCTGAGCTCCAGCCCAGCTCCACATCATAGGGCCCAAGCACACCATCATCCCATCAGCTAGGAATGGCCCCCGAGCCCTGCTTGGGAACACAGCAGGTGTTTCCGAAGACAGGTGGAGGGAACTGTGAAGTCTCTCTAAATGGAGACCGTCTTCAAGTGGGAGAGTCATAGAAAGAGCCAGTCACGCTGTTGCATCATGAAGTCAGAGGTGGCAAAGCTGATCACCAGGTCAGGCCAAGGGCAGGGGTGGTGGGGAGACACCACAGACTATACAACCCAGGCCGGGCAGAGGTGAATCTGCCTCCTGTGTCCACTGTGTCCACTGGGCCAGAAGCGTGGTGGAAGGGAGGGCAGGGAGGTTCAGCTTTCAGAGGCCAACGGGTAGGGACAATCGCCTGCTGGTTTCTCTTTCCTTTCTGGCAGAACAACAAAAGGGCATCTTTGCCTTTTTAGTTTTGGTTTTTGTTTTTGGTGTATGAGGTCACACTTGGCAGTGCTCAGCACTTATCCCTCACTCTGCACTAATGGATCCCTCCTCGCAGGGTTAAGGGAACTGTATATGGGCCCAGGATGTGCAAGGCAAACACCTACCTGCTGTGCTCTGCCCAGGGCAGGTTCTGCAGATCTCTTTGACTTCTCTCCTTTCCTGTTTTTCGTTTTGGGGCCACACTGGTGATGCTTAGGGCTTACTCCTGGCTCTGCACTCAAGATTTACTCCTGGGGACCTCCAGGAATCCAACCTGGATCAGCCACATGCAAGGCAAGCACTTTACTCTCTGAACCGTATCTCTGGCCCCAAGAGTCTTTTTCCTTTTTGAGGAAGAACCTTGCATAGTTTTACTTTGGAGTATTCTCTTAACAAACTAACATTTACAGATAAAATATTTTCCTCTGAAGGAAGATATCCAAGGGAAGATTAAGGACATTCATTCCCTTTGAGGAGTGGTTTGGAGGGAGGGAGCCCCTGGCTAATATGTGTTTTTCTCAGCCATTGAAGCCACAGCTGTGCACCCAGGGAAAACCAGGGAGGGAAGAAGAAGTAAAGATTTCTTTGTAAGGAAAGAAGAAAAAGAAGTGAAGAAGTGTGTGTGTGTGTGTGTGTGTGTGTGTGTGTGTGTGGTGTGTATGTGTGGTGTGTGTATATGGTGTGTATGGTGTTGTTTGTAGTGTATGTGTGTGTGCTGTGTGGTGTGTGTGTGTGGTGGTGGTGCTAGATGGTGTGTGTGTGTGGTATGTGTGTGGTGTGTATGTGTGGTGGTGTGTATGTGGTATGTGTGTGTGGTATGTGTGGTGGTGTGTGTATGTGGTGGTGGTAGTGTGTGGGGTGTGTGTGTGGTGGTGTGTGTGGTGTGATATGTGGTGTAAGGTGTGTGTGTGGTGTATGTATGTGGTGGTGGTGGTATCGGGGTGTGTGTGGTGTGTGGTGTATGTGGTGTGTGTGCGTGTGTGTGTGTGTGTGTGTGTGTGTGTGGTGCTGGTGGTAGTGTGGGTGGGGGGAGGTGAGGGGTGTATACGTACTGAAAAAAGCATGGCCTGAGAATTTGGCCAGGCTCTGTTCTCATTAGAAAGAAATCTTGGGATTTCACAAAGATCTAGAAAGTAGGGGAAAGACCACTCTCAAACTTCCCTCTGCCCCTCCCCTTTAATTGTTTCACTTTCTGTTCCTCCGGGAATCGAGTAGAACTGTGTCCTGACACCTTCTAAGGCATCACACTCAACTCTTCAGGGGAAGGTTGAAGGGCTGCTGGTCTTAGGGGAAGGGGGGTGCCTAGGATCACCAGCTCTGTGGACCGTGTAAAGCTGCGGTGGGATTCTGCTGCCCAATCTGTACTTTTCTGATTGCGTGGGGCTTATTCCAGGGTAAGAGCTCTGGGTGATTCCAGACTGCTTAGGGGACGGCGTGGTGCTGTGGATGGAGTGCAGGGCTTCCTGCACGCTGCAGTGTACTTCCCCATCCATCCGAGTCTGCAGTGTACCTCCCCATCCGTCCGAGTCTTGACTCCTGTCAGTGCTGGTCTTTCTCTCAATGCCTCGGGGAGGTGATGAAACTCCCTCTAGATGGTGCAAGACCTTGACCTGATGCTATCAGCAGCATTTAGCTACCCTTCAAAAGGCTCACGTGAACCATTGCTCACTCCTTGGCCTGGCTGAGTGGGACTGAGCGGGGTGGGGTCTGGCCATTGCAAGGTGTTTTGGAAGCCAGAAGACACTTGTCTTCCCAGGTATACAACTGGGGTTCAACACTAAGTCTGAGAAATGGTCCCAAACCCAAATCTGACCTGAGAAGTTCAACTCCCAGGGCTCCCCAAATTGCTGTCATGTCCTTCAGGCATGGCCTCGTCTGGCTCTGGCCCTGCACCCCACCTCTGCTCACAGTTCCCCACGCCTGCTGTCCCCACTCCCCAGCCTCTCGTGCTTCCCAACACACACACCTGCTCTGGCCCCCACGGGTCACTCCTGAGCTTCCAGTCTTATCTCAGTGTCCTCCGCCTTCACGGCCAGGCTCGGCTCTGTGGCCCTCACTTCTCTGTGGGGCAGCTGGGGCGGGCGCCCTGGGTAGGGATTCCAGAGCAGCCACCAGCTCCTGCCAACAGCCTCACCCCACCCCCTCACTCCCCAGCGCAGCTCAGTGCAGGGCCAAACACCGGCTCGCTTTACCTCTCTCGTCTTAGGATGCGCACATCTTTTAGAGGGCTGACCTCTGCATTGCCTCCCCAACCCCCTTTGGGTTTTCTGCTCTCTTGATGCAACTCTCGTTTGTTCTTTTTGTCAAACCCTTCCATCTGACTGCCTGGCCTGTCCAGCTTCCCCCACTGGACACCGTCCTGCAGTGGGAAGGAACGAACCAAACGCTTTTGAAAGAAGTGTCACCCTGTCCCCTGCTAGACTGCCCTTCCCTGCAGGGAAGGGTCTCGGCGCTCTTGGCTCAAGAACCAACAACCAACCAACGAGCATTCGGAACCCCAGTCAGGAGGGAAAGGGGCTGGGGATTAACCATGCAGCACCAATCCCCGCTGGCCCTGCCTCATGCTGATGACTAATGACTCTCCCTGGCATGCTCCACCAGGAACCCAGCCTGGACAGCTCCTCACTTCAGAGGAGATTCCCCTTCGAGCCTCAGCTAAAGTCCTGCTACTTGTAGCTACTTCCGGCCTGGGTATTGAGAAATCCAGTCTTTCCATTCAGGGCCTCCTTGTTCTCACTCCCTGTTATGCCACTCCACCACTGCCGCCTGGTCAGCTACTGTCTGCACATAATCTTGAACCCTGGGACAGTGGCTCCATCTATGCTCCGCAGCCCTGCTGCGGTGGGCTGAGCCCACCCTCGGTGACCGTGCAGTGGCCCTGCGTGTGCTGGATAAGCATGTGTGCACATGCATAAGGCAGCAAAGCAACGGAAGACTGGTGAGGGGAAGAGCAAGTGCAGGGTTAAGGCGCTTGATCTGCACAAGGCTGACCCAGGTCTAGTCCCCGGCACAGCGTCCCTTGGTCCCTTGCCAAGAATGACCCCTGAGCACAGAGTTAGAGTGAGCTCTGAGCATCGCTGGGTGTGGCCCCAAACCCCAACAAACAAATTAAAATGACTTTTTTTAAAAAAAAAGAAGCCTGGCTAGCCATGTGAGATGCTTACGTACATAGTGACAGTGATCTTGGTTGAAGTGGTGACATTGCTGCTAAGGAAGGTGACTTCGATGTTAGTTTCCTTGTTTCTCGGTTCCTGCAGGAGAAACTCCACCAGACTATGATGCACTAGAAAACCAAAACAAAGCAGATCACCAGGGGTCAGGACATGCAAGGTGCCAAGAGCCTCAGAGGGCCCTAGTGCTCTTAGGATCCTCAGCTCTGCCTCACATCAGCTCTGGGACCTGGAGCGGATTTTCTGTCACCAAGATGCTCAGCTTCTTCAATGGGGATATTAAAATACAAATCATGCACATCTTTGGCAGGGAGAGAGTGCAACTGTCAGAAGAGATGAAGTCATGAACTTTGCTTATAAATGGATAGACATGGAGAGTATCATGCTAAGTGAAATGAGTCAGAAAGAGAGGGACAGACATAGAAGGACTGCACTCATTTGTGGAGTCTAAAACAACATAACATGAGGCTGACACTTAAGGACAGTAGATACATGGGACAGGTAGATTGCCCCATAGCTGGAAGCCTGCCTCATGAGCAAAGGGGAGAAGGCAGCTGGAATAGAGAAGGGATCACTAAGAAAAAGATGGCTGGAGGAGTCAGTGGGGATGGGAGATGTGTGCAGAAAGGAGATAAAGGACCAAAAAATGATAACCTCTCAGTGTCTGTATTGCAAACTATAAAAGTAGAGAGAGAGTATGGGGAATATTGTCTGCCATGGAGGCAGGGGTAGGGTGGGAAAGGGGGTTATACCGGGGTTATACCGGGGATATTGGTGGTGGAGGGATGGGTATTTGATCATTGTGTGGATTGTAACCCAAACATGAAATCTTGTAACTATCTCATGGTGATTCAGTAAAATTATATATATATATGTGTGTGTGTGTGTGTGTGTGTGTGTGTGTGTGTGTGTGTGTGTCTCAGCTGAGTTAGATAATATCACTTCTGCCTTGCCACTAGGTACTGTGACGACAAAAAGGTTGTTGAAGAAAAGTTCTCATAGATATATAACCCAATGGCTGAGCATGGGTCCTGCGATGCATGAGGCCCTGGGTTTAATCCTTAGTGCTGCAAAAATAATTAAAAATTGGGGGCTGGAGTGATAGCACCGCGGGTAGGGCATTTGCCCTGCACGGAGCCGACCCAGCTTTGATTCCCAACATCCCATATGGTTCCCCGAGCACCGCAAGGAGTAATTCCTGAGTACAGAGCCAGGAGTAACCCCTGTGCATCGCTGGGTGTGATCCAAAAAGGAAAAAAAAAAAACATCAAAAAGCAAAAACAGAAAACAAATAAAAATTTGCTGAGGAGTATCTGGCCCATGGAGAGAGCTCAATGGGCTGAGCAACGCTTGGCATGTGGGAACCTGGGTTTGATCCTCAGGACCACACAGACCTCAATCATCACTGGGAGTAACCTCCAAATACAGAACCAAGAGTAGTGCCCAAACACTGCCAAGTCGAGGGGGGAGGGGGAGGAATGGAAAAGGAAAGTTCTGCTTCATCCTTCCCTACATGACTCTAGAAAGTCCGGGAGGGTTTTCCACTCCTGTTGCACACACACTGAGAACAGACTGCCAACTGTGCAGGTGCATGACAGGAACTGAACAGTGAGGGTGTGTCAAGGAATCCGCACCCAAGACCCCTGGCCCTGCTGAACCTCTGTGTGCCTTTATCTCTCCATCAATAAACCACAGCGCCCTGACGTCACCACGGAGAACATGGTGAGGGCATAAGCACTTTGCGTGAAACACTTTTCTACAAGGGGAAAGTGGCACTGCTAGAAAAATGGAGGTGATTCTCTAACTACACAGGTGCTTGCGGAGCAGGGATCCGAGGGGACCACTGTGCCAGCAACACCAGGTGCACAGGACAGGGGAGCTCAGAGCTGTGCTGGCCTGGGAGTGGGTGGTGAGCGGAGAGGCCAGTATCTGGAGCCCCTGAATGACCCAGGTAGAGAGTCTGTGCCCCCTCCCGGGGGGGGGGAGGGGAGGAGGGGACCAGCTTTGATGCTCAGCACACGCAGGTAAGCAGATACCACCCAGGCTTGATTTTGTCTGTGCCCTCAGGGTTGGAGCAGGCAGACAAGCTTTGAGGAGAAAAACAGTCTGCAAAGGCCTTCTCAAGAGAGACCTGAAACTCCCTGCACCGCCCCCCTGTTGGGGAACAGTTTTCCTCTCCAACGGTGTGTGGACACATTGTGCACTGGGTCCAGGCAGATGTGGAGTGAAGAATGACAAGTGCATGGAGAAATACCCTCCAGGAGCAGCTGATTGACTATTTGAGTTGTGTACTGGACAAGGACCCTGCTAGGGTTGGGAAGGACTAATCTGGCCTGAGGACTGCAATTTGATGATGCGATGTCCCCAGGAGGAGCCACCTTTAAGCATAGTACATCTCTTGCTGTGTTCATGTAGAAGTCAATTTAATACGATCGTTTAAATGTATTACTAGCAAAGGAAATGAGAGGGCAATATACCTTTAAACGGGGTTTACCCTTTATGATCTTTCTGTTATTTATACTGCTAGCCTTTGAATTAAATAAAAAAAAAAGTCAGATGTGGAGCATGGTGACAGACACGGTACAGATAAGACTCAACCTTGCAAAGTGGCCCAGAAGCAGAGCCTCACAAGAGGGAGTATCCGGGCAAAGTTGGCAAGAACACGGTGTCAGCCAGCATCAGTGTTTGGCCTTGAGCCTCACTTGACCTCCTAGTCACATAATCCCTAGACACAGAAACCGTCACATATTCTTAGCAAGTCATCCTAATGGCAGCATCTAGCCTTGATGGGGATTGGACAGGGGCAAAGCAGAGTTGGAGAGGTGATAGACCAATAGTGCTAAACTTTCTGTGATTGGATCTTCCTCTTAAGCTGAGACCCCCTACAAAATATATGCGTGTTTGGCAATAAAGTGAACAGCCATCAGCTGCTTCTGGAGGGTGTTTCTCTGTGCACCTGTCACCCTTCACTCCATGTCTGCCCAGACCCGGTGCACAACGTGTCCAGGCACTGTTGGGGGGTGGGGGAATATTCCCCAACACCCCCACCCCAAAGCTCCCCCAGCCTCTCCAAGGTTGGGATTCCCAGGGTCACTGCGTTGGGGCTGAAAGTTGGAGCCAGAAGTCCATTCCCACAGTTGCTGCCCCTCCTCAGCTGAACTCTGAAGAGATGATGAGGCAGCTACAGTCGACAAGATTTTAGAAGGGGCAGAAGAACCAATGTGGAGGCAAAGGCGGAACTGGCAAGATCTGGAAATTCCACACATGGAGTTGAATGCTGACATTTACACTTATCTGGGTTACCTTGGATACACCTCCTCTGAGAGACATGTGTCTCATGTATGAAACGCCCACTGCAGCCTCCAGCAACCCACTGTGTCCCTAGGAGGAAGCCATGAATTCTCTCTGGCACACAGACATACCAAGTTTAGTCTTCCAAGTCCTGTTTGACCCTGGGAAGGAATTATTACAAGTCCCAGTCACTGTCACGTAGTCCTGACTCCCTGTTTACTGTTTTGTTTTACCATCACAAAGGGTTGCCTGAACTGTGTTGTGCAGTTACTGTATTGTGTTTTCTACATCAAAGACTCAGATGCAGTCACTTGCTTCTGGTCACAGATCTGGAAGGTGGAGAAGCCGAGTGTCACATCTATGTGACTCCAGAGTGAGTTTGGGGAGACATGTCACATTATAACAGTCCCTCCAGAACCTCGTTACAAAAATCCCTTCACCAACCTGATACTGATGAACAGAAAGTAATTTAGTGTTAAGGTGGTGATCTAATTTATCCTCCTAAAATGAAGACCATGACAATTGGTGTTCAGTAGGAAGCTTGCCATGGGTTGGCAGCAGGAGTTGGGGAAAGAGCAGAATAGAAGAGGGAAGGAACACTGCAGTGATGGTGGAGGGAAGCGGTTAACCAGGAGGAAAAGTGGGCGCTGAAAAGTGGTAAAGTGTTGTGTAAGAAACCACATCAGTAACAGTCTTGGAAACCATCATGCCAAAACCTTATCAGTCACAGTACTAAAAACTATCATGCCAAAATCTTATCAGTCACAGTACTATAAACCATCATGCCAAAATTTTATTTTAAAAAGTGCCCGTCGGGTCTGGAGCGATAGCACAGAGGGGAGGGCATTTGCCTGCACGCAGCCGACCTGGGTTTGATCCCTGGCATCCCATATGGTCCCCTGAGCATCATCAGAAGTAATTCCTGAGTGCAGAGCCAGCAATAACCCCTAAGCATTGCTGAGTGTGGCCCAAAAATTAAAAAAAAAGAAAAAGAAAAAAGTGCTGTCAGAGAGACAGACTGGTGGGTTGGAGGGAAATTGGAGACATTGGTGGAGGGAAGAGGATACTGGTGAAAGAATTGGTGTTGGGACATTGTGTGTCTGAAACCCCAGACTCTGCTGGCCAGAAGCCAGGATGCACTCACCACAGTATGGAGCCTGAGAAGTCGTCAAGAGGTAGACTCTCACTTCCTTGGGAGGCGGCTTTATCTTAATACCCCCTTGTTCCAACAATCCTGGAAGTAAAAAAAGCAAAAATAGAAGAATTCCAAGGAGGCCATTTTAAGACTCCCTGGTACCTGCCCTTGTATTGATTCATGTACCCACTTACACCACAAATAATATCATGTGCCCATTATGTACCAAGCCCCATGGTGAGTCCCAAGATGCAAATCACTCAAGGCAGCAGAAAACCAAATATATAAGTGAACCGGAAGTACATGTTTAGATCATCTGGCCCATCGTCAGGAGACATTTAGTAGAAATTAAGATTACAAGAGACACAGTAGTGAATCACCAGAGATTTTGCCAGACCCTGGACTGAGCCAATTCCACCACGGCACCTCAGATGGGGTGGGCGTGCCCTCTCTGTCCACTCCAGATAAAACCCCGGTGGCCACAAGCCTCCAGAAGCAAAACCCAGGTACGCGGGTGCAGGGACTAAGACTCCAGGCCATGTGGTGGCAGCAGAGATAGGTCAGCCCTTCCTGTCTCCCCTCCCACTTGGGGTCCTGGCTGTCATGCCCACGATCAGCCTCCAGGCCCCATCTCAGTGCATCAATGGCCTTGATCTAGAAACTCCCAGATGAATCTCAAATGGATTAGCTTTCTCCAGAGATGTCTCTGGACCCCAACCATTTACAATTTTAGAATTCCAGAGGCGCGTGGCTACTTTTGCGGCTTCGTGACCTCTCACGATATTTCTGATAAGCAACAGAAAATAAATATTTAGCATCTGCCCCTGGCAGGCAGGCTTGAATGGTGGTGGGAAAATTCAAAATAAGGGTGATGGGAAGGTCTAATGGTGGTGGGATTGGTGTTGAAATCACTGTCACTGTCCTCCCGTTGTTCATCAATTTTCTCGAGTGGGCACCAGTAACGTCTCCATCATGAGACTTTGTTGTTACTGTGTTTGGCATATCGAATACGTCCCGGGTAGCTTGCCAGGCTTTGCCGTGCGGGCGAGATACTCTCGGTAGCTTGCCGGACTCTCCGAGAGGGGTAGAGGAATCAAACTCGGGTCGGTCATGTTGGCTGCATGCAAGGAAAACGCCCTACCCGCTGTGCTATCGCTCCAGCCCTGGTGTTGAAATATTGAATTTAATCGATGTGAACAACCTCATGAAAATAAAATTTAAAAAAAAAGAATTTAAGATTACTGTCTAACTCGTAGAACCCTCTCAATGCCTGCCGTTTGAGTGGTAACCCGTTCAGCAGGAGCACAGAGGGATTGTTGGGCCTGACAAGTCGGGGAAGTACACTCCAGGCAGAGAGTAGTTGGGGAAAAAGCATTCAAGGTAAAGAAAGATGAAGTACTCTTGGAAGAGCAAGCAGTATCACCAGGGTGTTCTGTGCAAGGGAAAGTGTAGTGAGATATGAGATGGTGTGAAGTGGCTGCTACATCAGCCAGTCCAAGCCCAGCCGGGGGAAGTGGTGAAAGGAAGCAACACTGATTCACTTTGTTACAGAAGCCTCTCCACTTTGATGTCTTGCCAAGCTGGTATTTGATTCATATAAACAGGGACAGGCAGCTGTGAGTAGCAGCCCAAAGTGGGAAGAGGGAGCTTGAGGGATGGAGAGGAACAGTAGACTTTAGACTTTCTTGGAGTTTTTCCCAGAGCTCTTCGTGATGGATAACTGCAGGATACATGCAGCAGGGACTGCAGAGCGTGAGATGAGGCCAGGTTCCTCAGCCTTCCCACAGCCCTTCTCTCCAGACCAGCCCCAGTCAGCCAGGAACGTGGTCCCGGTGACCACCCACTAGGCACATTTTCAGCAAACACGTGGTACCACGGTCTCCCATGTCTCATTGGGCGATATAAGTCCCCCTTAGAGACTCTCCTTAACACATACACCACAGAGTCTATCATGGGGCTAGAGCGATAGCACAGTGGGTAGGGCATTTGTCTTGCACGCAGCCGACCTGGGTTCGACTCCCAGCATCCCATATGGTCCCCCCAAGCACTGCCAGGAGTAATTCCTGAGTGCAAAGCCAGGAATAACCCCTGTGCATTGCCGGATGTGACCCAAAAAGGAAAAAAAAAAACAGAGAGTCTATCAGGAGTTGAAGAATATTGTTCTGGCTCGGAAGGATAATGGGAAGTCTCCCTTCTGAGAGTGAAGGCAGAGACTCTGGGTGAAACCAGAGTTTTTATTTTTTATTTTTAAGAGTGTCCGGAAGCCAGACTTTGCTGGTGATGGCTGTTATATGCAAGAATGGGTTCGGTGGCAGCAGTACAGAGGGCAAAGGGCACAGAGGCCAAATGCCATCATAGGCGAATTTCTTTACCGCAGTTGCTAGATTTCTTAACTATAGGCTATCAGGACTTAAAGAGGTAACAACTAGCAAGATTTGGATTCCCCTAAACTGAGCAAAGGAAGCCAAATGGATGACATTTACCAATTCTTGGACAGGAAAGCAGAAAAGGGTTAGAACAATCCACACACTCTCCAGCCAGGAAGCTCTTGTAGCTAGCACAGGGGAAGGCTGTCAGTGGGCAGGAGTTCTCCAGGGCACTGATGTAGAGGTGCACAGCCCTCATGTGATCACAGATCAGATAACTGTAGCCTGAAGAAGGGGGAGAAAACACAACCAAGGTTTCAGTTCAAGACCATGGAAACCCCCTCCAAGATATTTACTGTAACAAGGCTGAGTCTGGTATTCCAGTAGGCTATAAATACACGGGATATCCCCTGAGCCATATTTTATAATAATAATGGGCACGGTTATCGCATTTTTCCTTTTCCTTTTTCAGAGTCACCAACGCTAAATCTACCAAGAAAACGCTTAAATTGAGAACCGTCCTTCAAAACTCTTTGAGGCAGGTGTATAGGAGTAGTTAGGCGTTATAGCCCCACTACTCAGAAGGCTTATCTGCCTGCACATTTGTATCGCCCGTACTGACACCCACTATAAACTACACACTTCATAGTTTCGTTATGCCCAACCCAGCAACAAGACAATCAGAGAAGTCGAAGCAATTCACCAACAAGCATTGAAGGTCAGGGTGCGGTTCCTTCAAACAAATAATCATCCCAAACATTCCAACTGAATAACTTGGTTTTCTTGTTGTTTATTGTTTTAAAACGTACAATGAATCATGCTGAATACGTGGAGTCAAGAGCTCTGATGGGTGCCACGACCGCAGGGTTCTGGGATCTCCAAACTCTCCCTTTCAGGTGGGACCACATCCAAGTCTGAGCTGTATATGGGTGCGCCTTTACACCATGCTTTGGACTCTCTTGTATACAGACCTTCCACAAGCACCAGCAGCCTCCCAGCAGACTCAAACAAACCCCTTTAAAAATCATATTATGAATTAAAAAGTGAAAAGTGGCCAACATTTTCAATGTCATGGAAAATTGAAGTCTCTCTCTCTCTCCCTCTCTCCTTTTTTAATTAATTCATTAATTAATTAATTTGCTTTTTTTATGGGGCCACACCCAGCGATGCTCAGGGAGTACTCCTGGCTCTGCAGTCAGGAATTACTCCTGGCGGTGCTCTGGAGACCATATGGGATGTTAGAAATCAAACCCGGGTCTGCCGCACGCAAGGTCAACGCCCTACTCACTGTGCGATTGCTCCAGCCCCCTCTCTCTCCTTTTTATCTTTTTCTTTCTTTCGTTCTTTTTCTGGGGAAGGGGAGAGAGGCTACGACCAGCTGGGCTCAGGACTTATTCGTGGCTCTGAGTTCAGGGGTCACTCCTGGTGGGGCTTGGGGAACCATTTGGTGTGCCAGGGATCAAACCCAGGTTGGCCACATGCAAGGCAGGTGCCCTTTCTGCTGTACCAGATATCCAGCCTCTTTAAAGTCTTTTAAAATCAAACTATCCTCCACCCCTTTAAAATCAAATTGCTGGAAAATGCAATAATTGCTAAAAAGAAACATAGTTTTGAACATGAGCATATTCAATCCACTGAAATAATGTTTAGTCAGTGAAATGATCAAAAAGAATCCTGAGCCAGAGTAATAGCAGTGCATAGGGTACTTGCTTTTCATGTGCTAGCAGAGGATGTAACTAGCAGAGCTCTAGCCATGACGCTAGGCCAGGAAGAAGAGGAACTATGGTCGTCGGTTTGAGTGATGTTAGATCATTAAGAATGGAAAGACAACTTACGTGTGGTGCAGACTTTAATTTTAGGCACTTCTACCCTATGCTCCGTAACTCCCAAGTAACTCCCAAGCACGCATTCAGCAAATGCTGAGTGAGCCTACAGGGACTGACCAAAGACCCACAGGACACTCTGTGACCCACACTGGCCGGCTTAATACAGAAGTTCCAGTGAATTCTAGTCTCTGGGCTGAGCCAACACCCACTTCTCCCTGGCTTTCTGACCTGCATAAATGAAGGCGGGACAGCCGGGTTGATCTTGGCCACCATTGACAAAGTAATCCACGTGTCCGACAGGAATTCGAATGCCCAAATCTGAAAAGAGATGGAACCTCATTACCTGGGCAGATGGTCCAACCCCCACTCCAGAGCCACGCACAGTCTGAACTTCCTGAAAGGTCCACCTCTCTCCTGTGATGCTCCAGAACTAGTACTCATAGTTTCCCAAAGGGACTTTCCCATGGTGCAAGCAAGCAAAGATGAAAAAATGCATAAGGAGATATTTATTTGAATCTAATAGAAATCAAGGCAAATATCCCTCCATATAAGTTTTGATAAATAAAAAAAATGTGGTAAGTTTGGTACATTCCCTTATAACTAGTTACTATTTTGCTTGGAGTTAAAGTTCATAGAAATAAGTTTGGGCCACTTTCCTACAATTTTCTATGTAAAGTGTTTGTGTTCTTCGGAGTGAGCAGACGCCTGGCTACAAAGGGAAGCATTGAGAGAGGGCAGACCTCCTCTCCGTCATAGTGACCACAGCTGGCTCCTCAGAGGGGTGAGACCCAGTTATTAAAAACCCTGATTTTTCTCCCTCCATTGATTACGTATTGTCCATTTAATGTCAACTCTCCAGGAGTTTGGCAATGACCTAGAATTCATTCTGATCCCTCTTTCCCTGAGTCCCAGAACATGTCACCAGTCTGCTCAGTTCTACTTCCAAAATGTGTTCCTGATCTTTCCACCTGTCTGCCTTTACTGCCAACACCTTTGTCCAAACCCCCTCATCTTCTGCCTAGACTGTCACTGTGGCTTCACTCTGCTCTGCTGCCCTTAGTGTGTGCTCTATCCACTTCTCTGTAGAGCAGCCTCCACCATCTTTCCAAAGGACCCTAAATGTCACTGACCATGGAATGCCAACCTGATCCTGTACCCCTTTTCCAGCCTCCCTCAACACCTCACTCTACCTGCCAACCACATTCTTCCATCCTGTTCTCTTCTCCCTAGATCAATCTGTCTTCTGCACCTAGAAAGTTCCCCCAGCTCTCCCCAGGACTCTCATCTGCAAGAGTTTCACCTCATACATTGCCTCCTGGGACATATTCCTTGAGAATCCTATTTGAAGTGGAGTGTTTACCCAACTCACCCTTTATTTATTTTTTATTTTTAAATTAGGGATGAGGACTTTTGGCCATATCCAGTGATGCTTGGAGGCTACTCCTGGCCGTGTGCTCAAGGAATCACACCATTCCAGGGATCAACTGTGATCATGTGATACCAGGGACAAACCTGGTATCTTAATCCTTTTACTATCCTTCCAGTCCCCAACTCACACTTTTCCCTTATCCTTCATCCTTCATCCTTCATCCTTCCTCACTGTCACAATGCACCATTACTCTGAAGCTCTGTCAGGCCAAGGTCCTTTCCTGAATTTTCCTGCTATATCCTCAATATAAGCAGAGTATCTATCGCACATGTGTACGTCACACATAGATGTTGAAGGAATAGTACCTGAATGCTTTCCCAAGCGGCTGACCAGTACCTTGCAGCTGGAGTCTCATTCGGTGTGTTATGCACTGCAGTGACCTCAGTGCCTTCTACCTAGTTCAATGTCAAGTGAATGGATAGATAGAAAATCATTTTTGTTTTGATTTTATTTGGGGCCACAACCATATGTGCTCAGGGATTACTCCTGGCTCTGTGGACAGGGATCATTCCTGATGGGAGTTAGGACCAGATGTGGTGCTGGTGTCAAATCCTGACCGGCTACATGCAGGGCAGATGTCTTACTCCTGTACTATCTCTCAGGCAAAAGATTGGGTGTGGGGGTCACATTGGGAAGAGACTCCAGCTTTGAAGGCAACTGAGAGGCCTAGACCATGAAATGGGCGCCTATTTAACAAATGCAGAGAAAGGTGAGATTCACCAATTTAATAGCTAGGCAGAGGACGACGCATTTGATTTCTCTACCTGTGAAATGAAGGTGGAAAACAGAATTGAGTAATATGCTACCTGGGTAAAAAAAAATCATGAATCTCTCAAACTTAGAAGCTAAGATCAGACTTCTCTAGTTTAGGGGTAAGCTGGGCTACTCTTGGCAGTACCTGGGGACTATTCCTGATCCTGTTTTCAGGAGTTATTCCCCACAGCACTTGGGGAACCATATGTGATTCAGGGTCAGTTACATGTAAGAAAAGCGTTTTATCCACTGTGCTATCTCTGCAGCCCCTAAAAGCAGCCTTGTGACAAAAGTAATGGAGACAAAGACAAAAACTCTGGCACTTGGACTGCCAATTCTTCTAGTCAGACCAGATGTTTTCCTGTTGGTTTGGTTGGTTTGGGTTTGGACCTAACCTGGATATACTTAGTGCTTACTCCTGGCTCTGCACTCAGGGAACACTCCTGGTGTAGATGTGTGTGGAGGGGGAGGGAAGGTAAGGGACTATAGTGGGTCAGGGATCAAATCCAGGTTGTCTGCAAGATAAATACCTCAACCTCTGCATTATCTCTCCGACCCAGATGCTATGTCTTCATGCACCCAGCAGGTTGGGCACAGGCCCTGGCATGGGCCTCTTAGCAGAAATGAAAAAGGAATGCCCAATTTTTGCTGCTTCCATTGGATTCAGAGCTGCGGGAGGGATGATTTTCCTAGACATCAGTCTTGGATAACACAGAATCCTCATTCTCTGTTGGACCTAGTGGCCGGGTTCATCTCTGGGACAAGGGAATTCCTAAAAGGCCCGAGTTTCTGGAAGGAATCCCCCAGCTGAGTTCCCTTCATAGAAGCTGGGCAGCTGTGCCAACCAGCCCCTCCCCCCCCCATACACACAGCCACGTGTTACCTCAGGGAGGGAGACTCACAACCAAGCATTTTTGGCCCAAGAATGAGAATCCTCCTAACTAATGAGAATCCTGCCTGCTAAACATCAAACTCTTTCTCTCAGCATTCAGAGACAGCAGAGCCAAAGGAGACGTTTGCAGCCACACCAGCCCTGGCCCAGTACGCCCGCCCTCCACCCCCAGAGACCCCTAGCTCACTGTCCGTGTCCGTGTGGATGGCCTCCACAAACAGGGCGTCTCCCGGGTCCAGGCGCTCCTCTGGGCTGGCTCTGGTGTACTCAGGCCCCGCGGGGTCCAGGCCTGTGAGGACACACTGTGTCAGGGTCCAATTCTCTCAGCACAGAACCTGCTGGACCCACAGGCACCTCCTTCTCTGCTCAGATCCTGGAATGATTTCCCCCTCGTCCATAGTGAGAGAACTAACTCGGAACCACCATTTCCAGAATCACCATTTCCACCCTACCCTGTTTCTCTAACTTGTCAGTGGCCCTCTTGTCTGTAAGAGATGTGTCACACAACACAGGCCGTTTGGTCAGGGTTTGTGTAGAGCCTCTGGAGGGACAGCAAAGGCTGCAGGTCTGGAGCCAGTTAGTTAACACACGCAATGCTGCTGAGTGTTCTTACAGATTTACTCTCTCAGCTACAGCTCCATGGACAGTAAATATTTTTATCCCTGTGTTTTAGTTTTAATCTCTTCCCCTACACTATAAAAGGTTATATCCTAAGACAGGGATTTAAAGTGGCTTATTTGGGAGGTCACTGAAAACATCACAAGGGAGTGGAAAAACAAGTCAGAAAAGAAAGGAATTTGGAAGGGGCAACACCCCACTGTGTTCAGGGCTTACTCCTGGTTCTGCACTCAGGGATCACTCCTAAGGGTACTCTAACATCAAAGCAGCCCTGACCAAGTTCAAGGTAAGCACTTTACTCACTGTATTATCTCTCTGACTCCAGGAAGAAAGAACAACAAAAAAAAATTTTTTTTTTGCTTTTGGGAAACACCCAGCGATGCACCGAGGTTACTCCTGGCTCATGCACTCAGGAATAACTCCTGGCAATGCTGGGGGGACCATATGTGATGCTGGGAATCAAACCCGGCTCGGCCGCATGCAAGGCAAACTCCCTACCCACTGTGCTATCACTCCAGCCCAGGAAGGAAATTTGTGGTGATAAGTGGATTATCCCTTTGAGAAACGGCTTCTCATTCCACAAACCCAACGCGCAGAACTCCTCAGCTCAGAGTGGGCCCACCAGAGGGCCAGGAAGCCAGGGTGTTTATGACGTGATTCTAGTCAGAAGGCTCCTAAAGCACATAGCCCCTTGAGCTTCTGCCAGTATGTAATAAAACTGCCTGAAGGTGGTTTCCATAGTGGTCAGGAGCTGTGCATCATTAACATGTGGACCCTTGAGGCACAGAAAGATATGCACAGCCTGCACATTGAGAGCAGAGACCATGCGGTAACAACATGATGCCATTGTATTTGTTTCTGAGTACAACAAGTATTGTTCAGGGCTTACTTTTGGCCCTGAACTCAGGGACATCTCCTGGAAAGGCTCCAGGGACTATATTTGGTGCTGGGGACCAAACCCATATTATCCCATGCACCTTCCCTGCTGTACTACCTCTCCAGCCCTGCAATTCCATTTTACACCAAAGGGCCACAATGATTATGCTTTAGTGGAAATAAGAAAGCTCAGTCCTAGGAACTAAGCATCCACACTCCCAGCTGGGGGCCTCGGCCAAGTCCTTTTCAGGCAGGCAGTCTCTATCTGGAAGCCTGAGAGGATGAGCAGAAAGAGCGTTACCTGTGATCCGTCCCAACCGGCCTTGGTAGAAGTTTCCCACCATGCCTCCAACATGTGCCCCCAGGCTAACACCGATGATGTGGACTGAAGATTCAGACACACCCAGCATCTAGACAAAGGTATTTCCGGTGAGTTCTATGAAAACCAAGCTAGTCCATGGCCTCCCAAGTTCCCATGCCCTTCATTCCCACCCCACCAGGTTTTCAAGCAGAAGGTTCTGGACATGATCCTCTCATCTCTTAGACTTCAGGGGAAGTGGGGCAGAGTCCTCATCCATTAATGAAGAACTTCTTCCAAGTTCCTGCCTTGACATGTCTTCCCCTTTGGTGCCTCAAGTGTGGAAGGACCATTCAATCCCACCAAAGTATTGCAAAGGCTTTTAGGCATTCCCGGTGCAACATTCCGCACCAGCCCAAGCTCAGCTGAGATGAGTGCTAAGATGTCAAACAGAACTGCAAGTCATAGGTGGGGCCTCTTCTGCCCTGCAGCTCCGCCTCCTGCTTGCTTTCTTTCTTTCTTTCTAAGCCTTTCCCCCTCTCCCACCCCGACAGCCCTAAGTTCGCCCTGCATTCTCGGGACCTACCAGGAGTTTCTTGAGGAAACTGGAGATGTCCAGCCCCAGCTTAATCACGTTGTCTACAGCTGAGAAGTAGGCCGCCGTTGAGCCATAAACCCAGTCCACAGCAATCACATTCACATCAGCTGCCCGCAGAAGGGCACCAATGACTTGATCAATCCAGGAAGGCTTTGTTCCCAAAGCCCTAGAAGGGGGCCAGGAGAAAAGAGGAAAATTATCTGCGATGTCACTCTTTTTCTTTCTGGAGCCATTTCCAGCGACTCTTGGCCAACTGGACAGGCAGTTCAATGTATCAAAATGTCCAAAAACGCAGTGCTGCCCAGGCTCTGGTGGCTATGAGAGGCCTCCAAGGCCACACCTGGGCATGCTCAGTGGCCTCCAAGGGTGCATCCTGCAAGGCTCGGAAGGCCCTGTGGTTGCCTGGACCAGGGTTGGGTGCTTGCAGGGCATGTGCCTTAACTCTCGTACTCTCTCCAAATCCACTAAGTCAGTCTCTGCAAGGAAACCAGAGAAAGAAAGGGCAGGAAATCCCACAGCAGGGGGCTGGAGTGATAACACAGCAGGTAGGGCGTTTGCCTTGCACGCTGCCTACCCAGGTTCGATTTCCAGCATCCCATATGGTCCCCCGAGCTCTGCCAGGAGAAATTTCTGAGTGCATGAGCCAGAAGTAACCCCTGTGCATCGCTAGGTGTGATCCAAAAAGAAAAAAAAATTTCCACAGCATATTGAACAGGGGAAGGACATAATTTCATAATTATCAGAGCTCTGCCGGCTCATAAGGAAACTTTATGTCAATTATAAAGGGGGCTCTATTATAGAGACTCTAGCCTGAGAGATTGGAGACCTCTCCCTCAACTGGAGGACTGGTTGTGAGCACCGTCATGAGTCACCTGAGCACCATGCCATATAATCCCAAACCAAACAACAACAAAAATCCCAAATCAAACAACAACAAAAATGGGTGACCTTTTGTGCCCAAGATGCAGCCTCAGGCTTCGAACTCAGATCATATTTGAGTTCCCCCAGTCTACTTGTGCGCCAGCATAAACCACTCAAACTACATGTGCTGCCCCTGCCTGATAGAAAAGGAAAGATAGCTTTGTCCCTGTTGGTTAGATTGTTGATGTGATGATCAAGGTCTCACACACACCCGGCTGGGACACACACACCGCACCCTGTTTGTGGTGCTTGCTGGGGGCCACACATCTCTCCATGGTACTCATTGGGGTCTTTTAGCCGTGAAGCTTGCACACATGTTTACCGAGATCACACTCTTAGCTGAGACTCCTAAATTATGGATGCGGTGTTTGCACCCTTTCTCCCAAGGGCCTTACTCTCCAGGCTTGCCCATCCTTTTAGCTGGTGGTGCTCACCCAGTGCTCTCACCCTTTTGTTGTGCGAACACACACCCGGCTTGTCTGTGTCTGGAAATTGTAGCCTTGCAGATCACAGACAGAAGATCTACATGCACGTCACTATGGATTTTAACTCATGACCACATCGCACATTGCCAGTTCGAGTGCAAGGCAGGCCGACCCAACTCTTGCCATTGTGTCATTAAAAATAAATCTAGAATAAGGACATCTTCCTCAGATTGTTTTTATGTAATTACTTTTGCTTATTTCTCCTTTTATTCGTTCAATAAATGGACCAGTAAATATACTAAAAATAAAGAAAAAATGCAGTGTATTCCCTATCCTTTTGGAAATTACAGTATAACAAGGGTCTACTCCCAACTCAGTGCTCAGAAAGCACTCCCAATAGTACAGAGGGAACTACATGGTACCAGAAATCAAAAGGGTTGATCATATGCAAGGGAAGAGGATTAAGATTTTCCAGTTCATAGGAGGACTTTTTAGAAAAAGAAGAATGTTGGGAAAATATACAGATAACTTGGGAAAATAGGGTCTTCGGTGCGCAATAACAGAGGCACCATCAGAGTAGACACTTGTGGCTCAAGAAGCACAGACTGGAAAAGGCTCTTCACTGTGGCTCCTGTGGACCTGGGAGCAGGGCTACCCACCATCCAACCCTCCTGCTCTATTGGTGCTTACTGGGCTGGGCACACACTGGCTTGGATAGGGACCAAAAGAGACTCAGATCCGAAAGTGGACCCCCACTTCCTCAAGTGATGCTTGAGGAGTGTTGTGGTTTGGTCCCAGAAATCTGGTAGCTTGAGAAGTAGAAGAACCCAAAACTTAGGAACTTGCAATCCTCTGTGAAGTGCCACGTGCCCAACACTTTCTTGGATGTTCCCCACTCTCACTGCCTTGGGGTGATACTATTCCCCCATGTTCTGACCCTCTCTCCTCCTAGCAACTTCTCCATTTCTGGACTTTAGTGAGCTTTGAAGAGAAGATTATGGAAGGACCACATTTGGATTGAGAGGCAGTGACTACATAGCACAACAAAATTTGGACTGTAGAACTTTGAAAAAGTTGAAGAAGAGCGCCAGAGAAGTGTTGAGCTCATGACCATTGGGTAGTGAGAGCAGGGAAACCCAGGTGGGGAAGTTTCTTCTTTTGGAGGGAGATCACTTGGGTCATACCTGAGGTGCTCAGGGGATACTCCTGGTACTTCCAGGGACCAAAGTGGGGCAAGGAGCTTCCCAACTGCAGCTATATTATCTCTCCCACCCCTCTTAGGACATGAAACCAAGTAAGAAGAAAAGAGGAAGTAAAGCTTTTTCACAAACATCATGCTATCCTCACCCTATCTGTCACCTGCATTTGATTTCGCAAAGCCTATGATCTAATTGGCTGAGATGACTCATGCAAGCCATCCTTCAGGAAGTAAAAGGTCCTCAAGACCATTGCTACAACCTCCCTTTATTGAGATATGGGAACCAAGGCTCAAGTGCTCCAGTAACTTACTCAGGATCACATGAATGGACTGTCTGAGAGCGTCTAGACAAACTAGGAGGGAGGGGTGAATTCAACCAACAAGAATAAGCAACCTAATATGGGTTCATATGTGGCTAGGAGACACCATCAGAGATGGAAGGAGGTGAGGGCCAGAGCTGTGACAGTCAGTCAGTCTATTTCTCCTTGTGTCCCTGGCTGTGGTTCCTCCAGAGACACTGGGTCGTTGTGCTCCTCCTAGTTCTAGTTGAGTGAATTCTATTGGTTGGTTAGCTCCCACCTGAATCCGTGGATAATTAGTTTGGTGCCCAGCGTGACATTGAACCCAGAATTTTGGAGGTCACTGTTTTCTGTCAAGAGCTTCCCACAGCTAGGGTTCGCAGAAGTGAAGAGGAGAAACTGGACTTTGAGGTTGGTGCCTCGGAGCAGGCTGGCATTCTGGAAGTCAGCGCACTTTGGCTGTGGGGTAGGAGGAGCAGATCCTGGAGAGAAACGCAACAAACAACAAAAGAAGAAAGATTCAAAACGGGGTCGTCAGTGCTTTGGAATGAAGGTCTAAAAGCTGGTCGTGAAAGGAAGATACAGGGGCCTGTGGGCCCTCTAAGGCAGCCAGGGAAAGGACTGGACCCATTTATTGAAGACACCCTCCCAGGAGACGTCTCACTTGCAGATGATTGCATCCTTGTCCCAGCCACCAGTTCCCTTGTTCTACCTGTGTCTTAACCCCTATGTTATCTCTCCAACCCTGGCAGGTCTACCCCTTCCTCAAGGCCTTTGCTTGGACCGTTCCTTCTACACAGAGAGTCACTCCTCAGCCTCCCCAGGGTTAATTCCTGCCCCTTCTGCCAATCTTGGGAGCTTGCCAAATAGTTTCTATATAAATTATATAAACTATATATAAACTATGTAAAATTAGTTTATATAAGATAGTTTATAAATTATAAAAATTAAATATATAAACTACATATATTATATCAACAGTATCAATTATAATCTACTTATATTCCTCACCCCACATCTCTCAATCTTCCTTACCCTGACTGATTTGTTTACTTTCATAGCAATTGTTAACTTCAGATATACTACGGAATTTATTACTAATTCCATTTGTCACTAAATCTATGGTGGAATTTGCCAACTTATTACTAACCATTATTTCCCCATACTAAGATATATTTTGGGAGGACAGTTTTGGCAGTGCTTGGGGATCACTCTTGGTGGTTCCTTAGGGCCCACATATTACCAGGGATCAAACCTAGGGGTCTTGCCAGCAAGGCACATGCCCCAGCTCATGGAGTCTCCTCCCCAGCCCTAGACTATGGTTTTTAAGAAGACAGGAAATTGTGTCCATTTTGTTCACTCTACTATCTACAATAGTGCCTGCCATACACAATAGACCCCCAAAAGCTAGTTCTTTGAAAAGAAAATAAGCTAGATTCAATCTCAATAAGGCAAATAAAAATGAGACTGTCAAATGATACAGGGAATAAAATGAAGACATGAATATAGTTTTTTCATCAGAATAGTACATGTTTAGTCACAAGTTAGAAACACAGATATTTTCTTAGAAATGGATAATTTCCTAGGAAAAACCATGTATCTAACCAAAATTTTACAAAGAAAAAAAAGAAAAATCAGATGCAAAACTGTGTCATTAAGAAACTGAAATAACGGTTTGGACCACACCTAGAGGAGCTCAGGGGTGCTGGCTGGTCCCTCCATAGTACCAGAAATTAAACCCGAATATGCAAAACATCGGCCACACCCTATGACCACTTCCCTGTTCCTGAGACAGTTGTTTGTCTATCCATGGAAAAACTAGATGAAACCAGAGAGTTCTACAGAAAAGTCCTACCAATATTCAATTCCTTTTCAGAAAACAGTGTTTGTTAGACGTAGGCTCTGTGAGGTAAGTGGGGTCATCTAGTAGATCAGATCACAGAGTGGCAATATAAGGTCCACCTATACAGTCAGTAGGAGAAAAGAAACCTCCCAATCAGGAAAAGAAGCTAAAACTGAAAATCAAAACAAAACCCAGCTATGGTCCTTTTGCCTGGGGATTACAGTTTACCGGGAGCTGCTGGGAAGGCCAGGCCTCAGGAAAGAGACCAGAAAAGAAACAAACCAAGCACCCTAATCTACCGTGTTAGAAGTCAAGATAATAGCTACCCCTGGAGAACCCAGAGAGGAAGCAGGGAGTAGATTTTAGGATTTTGGTCACATGTTATTTCTTCTCATGAACGCTGGTTGCACAGATGTGTCCACTGAAAAATTTCATTCTGTGTAATAATAATCTGTGTGCTTTTCTGTCTATAGGTTGTACTTCAATAAAAGGTTTTCTCTAGGGGACAGGGGTAGTAAATCACAACCAACGGGAGGTGAGAGTTCCATCCCGAGCTCTACCCCAAGCCTGAAGGTAACCCCGTATCCCGCAGGCTTGCTGTCTGGTCTCTCCTGTGCTACAGCAAAGTGTGTGCAAATAACACAACTCAACTGTGCAATGCCCAGCAAGCTCTTCAAAATGGAGTTATGAGAAGGAAAATTAAGGTCGATTTATGATGGGGGGAAAAAGAGTGTTTGGAATCCCTGGTCATCACAGAAACAACAAAGGGAAAAGAGAAAGAAAATGCAAAAATTTTAATTACTTTGGAAAAGCCTTCACTTAAATAAAAAATAAGCACAAAGTTTACTGGAATTAAATCAAATCCCAGAAGTAAAAGTACTAAGAGTGGAGTGAGAAAGATAGTACAGGAGTTTAGACACTTGCCCTGCATGTGGCCAACCCAGGTTTGAATCCCCAGCACCACAAATGGTTCCCAGAGCACTGCCAGGGATCAACCCTAAACACAGAGTCAGGAATAACTCTTATGGGAATAGGGAATAGTTGGATGTTGCCCAAAAACCAAAATTGTAATAAAGGAATCCAGAGCATACAGTAAAGGGAAGTCTCTTCAAAAGATGGAGCTGGAGGGGCCACAGAGATAGTTTAGAAGTTAACGCGTTTGCCTTGCATATGGCTAACCTTGGTTCAATCCCCAGCACTGCACATGGCTGCTTGAGGACCACAAATAGTGATCCTCCCTTGAGAAATAAACAAGAAGTAATCCCTGAACACCGCTGGGTGTGGCCCAAAAATGGAAGGAAGGAAGGAAGGAAGGAAGGAAGGAAGGAAGGAAGGAAGGAAGGAAGGAAGGGGGAGAAGGGTAAAGGAAAAGGAGAGGGAAAGAAAGAAAGAAAGAAAGAAAGAAAGAAAGAAAGAAAGAAAGAAAGAAAGAAAGAAGAAGGAAGGAAGGAAGGAAGGAAGGAAGGAAGGAAGGAAGGAAGGAAGGAAGGAAGGAAGAAAGAAAGAAAGGAAGAAAGGAAGGAAAAGAAAGAGACCAAGGTAGGAGAGTTAACACGGGGTTTAATACACACGTCTTGTATGCTTCCAATCTCAGTCCAATCAACAGCAGTGTACGAGCCCTGAACACACTGGATGTGATTCTGAATGTCATTTCATTGGTTGAGAATCCCTGTGAGAGGCACCAGGTTTCCTCAGCGCCGTTCAGGAGGCCCAGGACCTCAAACTGTAACTTAATCTTTAGTACTTCATTCCATGTGCAGAATCAAATCCAGTGCAGCTAACCCAAAGCCTACGTGGCAGTGTCTGTTGAATTTATAGCTGCCCTGAAGCAGGTGAAAATCTCTGAGTGCCTGTTGGAGAGGAAGGCAGTGCTCAGTGTGCTACAGGAGGCAGGAGCCCAGACCCTCACCTTCCGGGAGTACATGGTCAAGTTGGGATAAAGCACATGTGCAACTCAGCAACCCCCTTCAGAAGCAGCCATGAAGTGTCAAACTACTGAGTACACTGAATTTTGGAGCAGAGTGGGCGGGCTGAGGGGAGGAATTAAGTGTTTTGGTCTCGGCGCTCCTGGAAGGTGGGAAGAGTTCAAATGAGTGAAACAGGAGCTAGAACAACTGCAGGCAGACATTCTAAAGCTGGGGGTACAATAAAATCTCCCGGAGGGGACAGAGAAGGATTCTACTGTCTTGAGCAGTCACGCTGGGGGCCGGGCGGGACACTTCACTCTCAGAGTCTTAGGAGGCTCAGCCCTGTGAGACAAAGGGCAGCGGTGGTGAGGGTGCTTGCCCAGGCGAAGGGAGAACACAGATAGCCTCTTAGGGAACTAACGTCAGCCGTCAGTTGTGGTTAGCAGGGACTCAGCCAGGAGGGATGAAAACCTGAGTTTTATTCAGGGCAGCAAGAACACTGAGGGCACAGCCCAATAGCACAGCATTAGCTGTGGGCTTAGAAATTTTAAAAACATGAATGAAATCGATCACAAGCAATGGTCCATTATAGGGTGCCCTGACTATTTTTTAGAACTTTGATTTGCTTAGAGTTATCCTGGCAAAGAAAACAGGAATAATGCAGGTCTTAGGAAAATGAGTGAGGGTAGTGAGTGAAGGAAAGTCAATTTTTTTTTGGGGGGGGAGGGGGGACTTGAGAAAGTGTCTTGGTTAGCATCATTCCCATTATGATTGTGAGGGGTTTTCTTTCCTTTTTTTTCCCTCTCCCTTTTTAAAATTCACTTAGCGGGAGGGCTTTTAGGGGACCTTCCAAAGGTTAGCCCTGGATTCTAGATGGTTTGAGAAGTGTAACAAGTTGACTGAAAGTAGTTCTGCCCAGGACCCCAGCACTCCCCAGACCCCCTCAAAAAACCAAAAAACTCCTTACCTGATCTTCCGATGCTGAGCCACAAGAGGACTCCCCACCAGCCCAGCCGTCTTCCCCAGCGGCCTGGGGACATCTTGGAGGCTGGAGTTTCAGGCAGCCACTGGCCTCCAGCACTAGAGAGAGCCTCCAGCCCGCTCTCCTGAGTCTGAACGCGAAGCTCTTGCTTGGGCCTCACTAATCATTAACTGACCTCATGACCTGAAAAGGAAAAATAAACTGTCCCTATTTGCTCAACTTTTAGAGTTTTTCGGTTTCTTCTTCTCAATGAAAACAAAGACATTTTCGTTTTCTTTCTGTTTTGTTTTCCAGTCAGAGCACGTTGAAACACATTGTCCTTCCTCTCTCTCTCTCTCTAGGTACCAAACAGCGTCAGGAAGTGATTTCCTGTGCCTCTCCCACTTCCCATTATAAAATGTGAGAGACAAAAAAAAAAACAGGGTTTTTCATCTCTAGGGAATCCCAAGGCCCTCTTTGTACTGGAATTCTTGGACATCTTTGACTCCCTGAGAAGACTGAGGGAGTTTAGGACACAAATGTGGGTTCAGGTTTGAATTCCAAGGGCTTAGTACCATACTGAGCCGGGCAGTCAAGCCGAGTGACGTGTTAAGAGAAGCTGAAGAGCTGGAGAGATACAGTACAGTGGGGAAGTTGCTCGCCTTGCACGTGGCTGACCTGGCTTTGGTCCCCAGCAACCCATGTGGTCCCCTAAGCAACCCCAAGGGTGATCCCTGTATTCATGAACAAGCCCTGAAGATAGCTGCATGTGCCCCACTCCCGAGAGAGAGACAGAGACAGAGAGAGAAGGTGGTGGGGGAGAAGATGAGCACTACTGGGCATCAAAACAAAGAAACAAAACAATCAAAACGAAGAAGCAAAACAAAACAAAAAGACGAAGACCTGCCTTTCCTAAAATCTGGTGAGAACTAGTCTTTCCTAGAATCTTGGTGCTAGGAATAAAGTCCAACTTCTAAAAAGTTATGTTCAAAATAAAGAAATAACCCATAGAATTGCTGAGAAGTTGCCTCAGTGGGGGAAACAGCCTGGAATCAGGGTCTTTCCAAGATCCCACGTGGTCTCTACCCAAAGGACTGACAGAAACCACAGATGGAGGGGGTTGCAGGCACAGCGGGGAGGAGGGGAAAGCAGGGTGCTTGCCCAGCATTCCTCACATTATTGCCCCTCTGTGATCAGAGAGCCAGCCAGTCAGGGTCACTGTGGAGGAGGGGAGGCTCTGAGATGAGACTTTCTCCGCGGTGCATTTCTTTCTTTTTTTTTTAATTCATTTTTGTTTTTTAATAGGAATATTTATTGAGACCCTGTAATTTACAAAGTTGTTCATGAGAGTTTTTTCAGCTATACAATGTTCGAACATCAACCCCACCACCCTTGTTCCCTTTCCTCTACCAGTATCCCCAGCAGATCTATCAAATGAGAGTCTCTGAGCCAGAAGAATAGCACTGTAGCACTGTCCTCCCATTGTTCATCGATTTGCTCGAGCGGGCACCAGTAACGTCTCCATTGTGACGTTACTGTTTTTGGCATATCAAATACACCACGGGGAGCTTGCCAGCCTCTGCCATGTGGGCCGGGATACTCTCGGTAGCCTGCTGGGCTCTCCAAGAGGGACAGAGGAATCAAACCTGGGTCGGCTGCGTGCAAGGCAAACGCCCTACCCGCAGTACTGTCGCTGAGCCAGAAAAATATGGAAGGATATGGTACCAAAACTCAACAAAATGAACTCTTCACCAAGAATATGCTATCCAGCTAGATTATCATCCACACTTGAAGGAACTATACAGTGCTTCATGGGCAGGCAACAGCTTAGAGAACTTAGAGCCTTGACACCAGTTTTACAAGAAGCATTAAAAAACCTCCTTTAAAGGACACAGTGCATCTCACACAGCTGTAGGGCACTGCGAGGCTAAGAAACGTGCATGAGTCATGCCAAGCTGTGGTCAGAAACATAGAAGCAGGAAGCCCAGGAGGGGCAATGAGACCATGCCAGCATGGTTGTGCCAGGCCTGTCACAGACAAGGCCAAGATCATCTTGGAGGCTAGCCCTCGGACACAGGGCCTCAGGCATGGCTCAAAGGCACCTGCCACCTGGAAAGCAAGAAACAGAGCACTGCTGCTGAGGAGTTCTGACCCCAGAGCTCAGCCCGGAGAGCTGATGGCCGCGGTGCAGAGAAGCAGAGGCCGAGATGGGACAAGCTGTGCGAGAGATTTCTTGGGGGTTGTACCCTTGAATCAAAGGGGGGCCTGGAGAAGGCCAGGGGAGCCTGTGGACCAGGAGCAGGTCTGACACCCATGCGTGAGGGGGGCGGGAACAGAGGAAAGGCTATGCCAGACTCACCCGCTCCTCCCAGTTCCCAGAATGTTCTGGCATGGCGGAGAGGGAACTGTCAAGCGGCAGTCTGTTAAAGCTGTGGAGTCTTACCAGAACCCACCTCTCTTAGCAGTCCCATGCTAGACCCAGACGGGGAGCCATCACTTAGGAGCCCCCAAGCCAGAGGCTACCTCCACCTGGCTGTGACACCCACCCCGGGCAGGGCTGGCACACCAGTGACTCCTATCACGCCCATGCTTATCCCTGAGCAGATGTCTGTGGGCGAGAGGGCTAGTACGGTGGGTAGGGCACTTGCCATGCCCCATATGGGTCCCTGAGCCTTGCCAGGAGTAAGTCACAAGCTCTGCCAGTTGGGACTCAACAAACAAACAAAAATGCACAGGGGGGTAGTGTGCTTGCCTTGCATGCAGCAGACCAAGCATCATACCTAGTCGCCCAATACCCAGTACCACGCAGAGTGCCCCAAACCCCACCAGAGGGGATCCCTGAGCACAGAGCCAGAAGTAAGTCCTGAGCATCACCCAGTGTGGTTCCCTCCAAACAAAAACGTACAGATTATTTCATATTCTCGCACTTACTCTTTAATGTCTGAGGCATTTTATATTACTAAATAAAGGATAATGTATTTAACACATGCCAGGCGTGGAGCCAATAAAGTCAATATAAAAATATAAAAGAAACATCTGGAAGGATGGAAATGAAACCCCACCTACTCACAGTAGGGTCTTGTAACTACAATTTACATATTATAATACAGATTACCTTCATAGATCACTGTGAATAGCCAGTTAGAAAAAAAAGCAATGAAAGTCTTAGGACAGTACTATTATTCTTCTCTTTAGGAAGAGTGGGGATTAAACAAGCATTAAATACTCACCATGCCTTAAACACTGAAGACAAATGAAGAGCTGTCTATCTGAAACAGCTTTCTATCAAAGACATTTGAGCTTCTGCTTCCTCCTGTATATCCAACTGTCAGCCAGAAAACGCTTCTGGAAGGATCCAGTAGAAATAGCTGATGTCTTTAGGGAGCCAGGTATCTATCTACCTTTGCACTATTCAGATATGAGGATTGGGGTTTCTCAGAAGGAGATCACACCATTGTTCTACTTCGGTCTAGAAATACCTCTTTGTTCATAAGACAAAGTGGACAAAACAGTTTGCTTTTCTTCCTAGTAGTTACTGATGGAAGAGTGGAGGGAAAAATGGTATGTAATAATGACTTCAAATGGTCTTAGTCACTTAAGAAAAAAAAGCAGAAGCCACAAAACTGACCCCAAAGACTTAAAAACAATCTATCACTTACTTTACACTGACTTCCTGTGGTATCCTATCTGGAACTGTAGTGAAAAGTCAGCGCTAAATGAATAAGATCTTTCTAGCTAATTCATGCACTACATTCTCTTTCGTATTCCACGTAAGCAAAAATTGATAGCTGGGCTCACAATACCTACCAGATAGTTCACTCCCACTGGATTGATCTCTCCATACTGGGCAGAGGCTTTCTAGGATTGACCATACAGAAAAAGGACAAGCCAAGGGTCTATATGGGGGTGTGATGATGTTTTTTCTCTTTTTTTCTTCAGGGGAGGGTGGTAGTATCACACCCTTAGGCCTGGATTTAACCCCAAGTTTTGGGTTTAAACCCATCTGTGTGACAAATGGTGATCTCTGAGCACAGTTTTCTGCCCATATTAATGATCTGTGAAGTGCCTTGAATGTAGGAGCTCTCTCTTCCTTTTTTTCCTACCCCCACCACAAAGAAAAGATTCTGGCCTACTCCCTAGCTATCACTCCCACCCCCAAAACACATACATAAACAGAGAGAGAGAGAGAGAGAGAGAGAGAGTATTCAGGAGAGAAAGAACATAAACCAGATACTGGGGACCTGGCAGAGGTGGTGATGGAATGTTCCAGTTTCCTCTTGCAATGGTTTCCATTTCCTTAAAGAAATTCAGAGCCTCAGAGGTGTCAGGTTGAGAGTTACATTTGGGGAGGTGTTGAGTTTGAGCAAAAGAAACCCAAAACTCTAAACTCACTAAAGGAAGGTATCTGTAAAGCAGAGTGAAAATCTGCAAAGCAAATTAATAGGCCGTGGAAAGAGTCTTTGTCTTGTCACCAACGGTGGACCAAGTGCTCGAGAGGAAAGCAAGAAATACTAAGTTCCCATTTCCTTCTCCCATGCCATTCCCTGGCTCCCACCTCTTCCTCACGATCTGAACACAGTGGAGAGAGAGATACCTGTCGGACTGACTGGAAAGTAACAGGGTTGCTCTGTATTAGCTCTTCCCCACCTCTTCCAGCTGAAACCAGGAATGGGATTGGAAGGAAACATCCCGAGACTCGTAATTCTTTTCCTTTCTCCTCTGTAAAGGGGAGAGAAGATGCTGACCACTGGCAGAGATGGAGGGTGACCATACAAAGGTGACGATGATGTCCATCTCCAAGTTGATATCTGCTGCATCAGTGCCGGTGTGAGGAGCACTGGGAGAGGGAGTCAAAGGGGGAACAAGTGGAAACAGCCGTGGGTAGGGCAGCCCACGCATCCAGCTTCCTGAACCTTCAGGAGACCAACTGATCTATCTCACCAATGCCTAATCGGTGAGGATGCTCTCAGGGAAATACTGGAGAGGACAAAGAACCCCAGGAAAGGGATAAGGGGAGAGGGGAGAAAGAGGTGTTTATAGGTGTCCAAGTCCCAAGCTCAGACCAGACCGGGGGTGAGAAGGAGGGAGGACATGACAGTGAAGTCTTATAATTTACTAAACTGGAGTGGGATTTCCACTTCTGGGTGTAGAACTAAAGGAAATGAAAACGGGATCTGGACGAGTTCCCTGTACTCCAAGTGTTGGTAGCCACAGCCTCGCAATCATCAACCTGTGGAAACAACCTAAGTGTTTGTCATTGTGTACGAAGATAAAAATGTGGTATATTATTCTTCCAGTGTGAGAAAGATGGAAA